AGGATTTAGTTTTGAGTNTTTANNNGGTTTTAGGTGTCAAAACATTTTTTNNNNTTTNNNATTTTANGATATAGGCTTTATAAATCTATAATTAGTGGCATTTTTGTAAATAGACACCCCTAAGTGGCATTCTTGCAAATGTGCACACAAAAATTGACATTTTTGTAATTGCCCCTTGTTTATATGTAACCAAATTTTAAATGAATTCATTACAAGTTTATGAATTGAATATCAATCTATACTTATAATTGTGAAGTCGAAAATCTTATGTGTCGTCTCTAGAGTGAGTTTAAGACTTGGTTTGTCGAAAATACCCTTTATTAATTATTATAATTACGTATACTGCCATCGGTCGATTATACCATTTTTCCTGTCGGTTAGCTAATCGGGCTTTTGCATATTTCTTTGCCAGTAGCCCATAACCACATCTTATTGGGCTTTAATTATAGATTTGTGTTGGCCTAATATTTTGGTCTGTATATATAGATCTGTAGGCAATCCTTTCGTAATACTTTCGTTTGATTCACGTATTAGGTTTTCAATTTTTCTTCCTCATTTTTACGTTTTCTCTACTTTTTTGTTTGCTTGTGTTCTCTTCCGTTTACGTTCTCTTCCGAATTAAAGCATTTCATAATTTCGTGTATGTCATTTCTTGTGTCAACATATTTTAAATTAATTAGTCTGATGCAATATACATGTTTTCTTAGTTTTTGCAGGAAAATTTTGTTTCGTTTGTGTTATTCCAACATCACCGGATGCATTATGATTTCGGGTATATATTTTATTCTATTAATATGTTCTTACTTAATTGTTTTTTTATGTGTTCTTGATTTTTATGTCTTGGAGGTTGTTCAATTAGTTTTTTTCCAGTATAAGAAAATATTTTAATTACTACTTTTTATTTTACTAATCTAATTATCTTATTTTTAGGTATTCATTGATTTTGCTATAAATTTTATAAAAACCCTAGCCTCTACGTTAGATTTTGTCTTTGTATGTTTGATTGTTCTTCTCTGTTTCTCTGTGTTTGTTGTTTATATTCAATTACTGCAATTGTTAATGCAATATTATTTTTATTTTCTCACATGTTTGAGTACTAATCCATCTATGAATTTTGTTACTTACTTTTTGTTATCATGTTTTCTAATAATCAGATGCTCTTATTTTTGTTTATTAGTTTTTCAACGATCCTGACATGTTTTTGACTTCGTCTTGCAGCAGCTTAAAAACCGATAACACATCCTAGATAAGAGTTTGCATTCTTCGTGTNGCAAATTATAGGTTTGTCCTTCATAGTCTCTTATTTTCCTGTTATGTTTCTCATGGTTTTTTTTATTGTATTCTCTTATATATGTTCTTAATGTTCTAATTAATTGTTAACATAATCCACGTGAAATTCCTATGCCTCTCTTCCATGAATTTCATTTATTCCTGTTATCTTTTTCTTTTAATACACTCCTATAATTTTCTGGTTTTCTATTTTTTTAAGGTTAGAGAGAACAAGGTTTTGAAACAAAGTAAGGAAAGGGATCAAAGTAAAGTCTAGATTTCACTTAGATTGCTTATAATTCTTTCTTTAAATTGTTTATAACATGGTATTGCTTTATCTTATATTTATTGCTTTATTATATGTATCAAGTAAAGTCTAGATGATACAGAAGAGCTTATCAAGTAAAGTCTAGATTTCACTTAGATTGCATTATGTTTAGTACATCATGATTAAGGCTCTANTGATTCATCTCTGTTAAAAAAGTTTAGTTTTCAAAACTTACTCTCGCAGATAAATTTGCGCTAGAATTAATCTCTAAGGGATTCATGAATGTCTCTATGCTTAAGAGGAGTTACTTGCGAGCAATAATCTGGTGTGATGATCATAACTTTTATTCCTATGTTTGCAGATATGAAAATGATGCAAGACCTTTCTAGCAATGTATAGTGACTGCATCAACAGGCTGTTCGGATTCTCAGTACTTTGAAGAGCTTTATAACTATTTTACTACAAAACATGTTAATATTTCTCCATACGCTTAAGAAATGTCTTTTAAAGTTTGTTTCTTTCTCTTGATATGTTATCCATTTGCTTCACGAGGCGTGGAAGCCATGTGATCCAGAGGCAGAGAAAGTGTTCAAATCTATTAAAGAAGAAAGTGTAAAATTTGCCATTGTGTCCAACTTCGACACTCGATTAAGACCCCTCCTACGAGCACTGAGACGTGAGGACTGGTTTGATGTTGTGGTTGTTTCAGCCGAAGTAACATATCTTTTATATCTTTTGGTTGATGATCTGAAACGTTTTGGGAGCGAATGTGTATTAAAATGATTATGGCTGATTGTTTGGCAGGTTGAAGCGGAGAAACCAAACTCGATCATCTTCTTGAAAGCTTGTGAATTTTTAGGAGTGAATCTCGAGGATGCGGTTCGTGTAGGAGATGATCATGGGGAGCTAGAGATGCAGGTTGTGACGCTTGGCTCCGAGGAAGTGAAGTTACTTTTAATATGGTACAAGCGGCATCATGTTCTTAAGTTTTTTAATATCGTTTAGACACTTCAACAACCTAAAACGCTCACAAAAACATGAATAATTATATCACTACGAAAAAGCATTAGACATGTGTTTACTTTATTTTTTTGATTTTAGTTTTTGATTTTAATTCGAATACCTATTTAAAAGCAATAGATCCCTATCTCGAATATGTTATTGATTGTTTTTGCATTGACAAGAGTAAATACTCATGTTTATTTTTTCCATAACTTATTGTGGATAACAATATCATTTCAGTTAATCATAAAACCTAAATTTAGTAATAACCATAATAACATATTCATTCCCTCTCAAATTTGAATAAGTTTGGTAGTCAACCAATATAACATTTTTTAATATATTGCACTTGTATGTTGAACGTAGAAATCTAATTGATAATAATTATGATTTCCTAATTTCTTAAATCTCAATTATATATCTTAGTTAATTACTAAATACAAGTTTGTGTTTTTGTAGTATTTGTTGCAAATAGATCGAACTTATGAATAATGTTGGTTTTGAATGTTCTAAATATATTTTATGTAATATCATTTGTATTGTTATTGTTCATTTAATATTTGTTTCATATAATATAATGTGAATATAACGTTGTTCCGCGTAAGGCACGGCTATTGACCTAGTAAAATTTATATATAGTATTTCAATTGCACCAATAAGAAAAAGAGACGAGTAAAAGCAACAAGATCAAGCGTCCTCCC